GCCCAGAGAAGATGTGGAATCTCCATCCTTGGAGATACTCAGAACTGAACCAAGTAAGTGTCTGAGCACGTAACAGGGTGAGTCCCTGACTGGGCTGGATGATCTCCAGAGCTTCCTTCCAACCTAAATTTTTGTATGATTCTATGATTATGACTACATAACGACCTCTTTTACATTCACATGAATCATGGGATGTCACTATGTGAGCTCATATCAGTTCCTTGATGTCATAATATCAGTCTTGTGGAGTTAATTTCTGTTTCTATTCTGTACTAAGTTAATCCTGACAGAGACTGAAAAATTTTAAATCAGAACCTTGTGTTTGCTGACCTTTTCTAAGCATGACCATGGTCATATATTAAGGGCTTATTACATTAATTGATTTTTTTGAAGGGCTTATGTAATACAGCTTGATAACAAGGTTCCTAATTTTTCACAGCAAATGTAACTTTATAACTATTAAAACTAGTGCCACCTGCATTGTGAAGAGTTTTAATGTTTTTGACTTATCTAGATGGCCTCTTATTTGAGTGGAGTTACTTTGGAAGGGTCCTAGAATGTGTATCAGTTCTATGTGGCTTGTATGTATTTCTTCTTGGTGAAATGAAAAATTTAATTATATGAAAAAAATGCAAATTACTGCCAACTGTGTTAACTGTGAGAGAGTTGCATTATCTTCTAACATAAATTGTCAGTGAATTGAAGAAAAGACGTTTTGGAAGCTGATCTGATTACTGTCAGGGAAAGTGCTCAAACTCAATTGTTGGCAAATGTCCAGTACCCATCACTGAATGATCATCACCTCATCATTCAGCCTTCTCAACTGACATGCAAAACAACATCCAAATATTCATTGCACATCTGTGCTGGACAGATTATGCATTAGCAATTCAAATCAATTCAATGTACAGGCAGTTTCTGTAAAGGCGTCTGTTTGGGTGAGATGCCTTGTTGTCTGGGATGGATAATAAGGCAACTCTGTCTAATCTTGGAGAACAATCAACCCATCTTGAGAAGGTGACTGACTACGTATGCTCTTGCCCTGACAGCACTAGAACAATGGCCCCATAATGCACTTGACTCAGCTGGTAATAAAATCTACTTTTGATTAGCAGCCATGGCTTGTGTCAATCACTGCATGATGTACCATTGTCCTCTGGTCTTGAACACAGTTTATTTACAGGGAAACAAAAGCTTTTTGGATATGGCTGCTGCCCAGAGATTGCAAAATAGATTGAGCTGTCAGCCTCGCACACTAGATGAAGATTAATGAGTTGTGCAGACAATAAATATGAAGCAATGACCATAAATATGCTAATAGGTATTATCCATATACACTATAATTGCTACAAAAATTAAAAAGTAGTGTGAAGGAAATAGGTCACAGGGTGACAGATAGATAATCTTGGATGCTGAAGATCTTTGGTTCAGTCAGATTCTCTGCAGGTTTATTTCCTTCAATTAGACCCTTCAAAAGAGTAATTGTTTAAAAGCTGTTTGAATAATCTCTTTTGAAACAGAGGTTTCTGGGAAAATATTTATGAAAAAGTGACTTCAATGAACATGTTATTGGAATGAAAAAGGTGACTACCAAAAGCAGGCTACGCAGAGATTAATGTCTGTGATCAGCTGCCCAGCTTCACTATGATGAAAATATCTCTAAGTGGCGCACTAGTGAGGACTTCAAGGAAAATGTGCTGAAGAGACACAGCAGTTTATATCCAAAGACACAAGTGAGTAAGGTCATTCCTAAGCAAAATATAGAAGAATTGCATGCATACATCTGCTTTTATTGGTTTGTCTGGTTTTCTCAGCTTAGCACACTTTTTTCTTCTTTTTTTCATTTTCTTTTTTTTCTTTTTTAATTGAAGAAGGGAAGGATGTCCACAGCTCAAATTTTCAGAGTATTTCCAATCAAGCTTCTGGTTTCCCAATTTCTTTCAAAGCGCACACAGTCTGCACAGTTTCTGACACTGAAGGATTTCATTCCAGCCTGAAACTCAGAGAGTTAAACATCAAACTATGTTAGCTGTATGTACAAATGCTACAGCCCCTAAGGCTACTGAAATTGTAGTGACACCAAAAATAAAGGCAGTTGTACTCTTGGTATTCATGGCTCTGACTCTCTGTTCTCTGAGGCTTAGAGTGCCACTGGATGTTTTTCAGGTCATCTCCTCTCCTCAGATTTTCAGCTTCTGGAGCAGGGATATTACTCAAATATTCTCCCAGATCCAATTTACTGTTATAATGTCAGTCTTGGTGATACAAATGAGTTATTTTCTCTTTCCTTCCATACTTTAACTGGAAGTGGCACCATTTTGGTTCTTAAATTACCACTGATTGGATTTTTGGCAAACAGTCCAGAAAGAACTGCTTTAGTGCTTCTGTGCCAGGCTCCCTGCTGGACATTAACTACATTTGCATAAGATCCTGGAAGTTACAATTTCTAACCAGAAATACCAGTTTAAAAAGGCAAAAAGAGATAGGACACCATTTAGGAAAATGTCTCGCACAAAGCTGGCAGGTGAGAGGAGAAGCACTTCTTTGTGGATGAATCTGTAGAGGGAAGGGACCTTGGGAAGCTGTGTGCTCAGGGACTGAGTTCTTGTTCCCAGTCCCACTTTAGCAGTGACACTGGGCATTTTGAACCTGGAGGCTGTGATGTTAGACATGTCAAATGTTGCCAGGGCACAGTGAGATCCTGTCCCACCACACCAAGCAAGGAGAGCACCGCAGGCCCAGAGATGATAAGAAGGTTGAACCAAGAGTCCAAACCATCAGGCGAGTTTGTCGTGATGAGGAAAGTCCAAGGTTAAGTCAGACACATGAGTCAACGAATCAGTTTCAGGTCTGGTGATGGTAACCAGTCGAAGTCCGGTGATTGCTGCGCAAGTGTATCCTTGCCAACCAGGCAGGTCCAAAGTCAACAGGCTGCAGCTCAGTCTGGATCAATGAGGTATGGCTGTGATGGAGCTGCAGGCAACATCACTCAGGCAGGAGCTGAAGGCCCAGGGGAGGCTGGCCAGGGCTGTTAAGACCTAATACCAGACTCAGCCCTGACACAGGTACAAGAGATTGACCTTGTTTTCTTTCATTTTCATACAAGAGATTGTCCCATGTTCTCATAAGAACCTGAAAACAAGTGAAAGCAAACTCCTTCTAGGTCAGAACTTCTTCATAACCTACATTTGCCGTGCCACTACAGTAACAAGAGCATGAAGGTTGGCAGAGCCCAGCTGTGTTTAGCACCGTGTCATCTGTGCCTACTCACATGATCCTCATCCAACTCACTGCAACCACATAGCAGATTTTAGATCCACCTCCTTGCTGACTAGGCCCATGGCACACTTATAAACAGAGGCTTCCCTTGAATCCCTTTGGTGTCTTCCTTCGCCTTATTACATTGAGTTTCTTCACCTTGTTTTCATGAGACTACTATTAATTTCTCCTTTCTCTGCTTATTGACTGATGTTTCTGCTAATCATGAATTGCCTTGAGGCACTTTGCTTGTTATAAAAACTTTTATTTTATCTAATTTCAACTATTTTTAGTTAAACAACTTTGTGTGTATCCATTATGATGTGTTTTAGGATTGGATAAAAGGCCATGACATACAGAGTCTCTGCAACTTTGTGAAGCTTTCATTCCACATGGCTCTGCCAGACTTTATCGTAATTTCCTGATGGGCTGTTTGGAATATTAAAAAAATTATATCAACAAAACACCAAAGGATTTTAGCAGTTTTGAAGTAACAGAAGGAAGGATCTGTAGCAATATGTACAAAGAAAGTGACATTTTTGCTTTTATTGTCACTTTGAAGAAGGCCTATAGCATTAATTGTCCTTCTCTTATGTAGAATTTTACTTACATTTAAGCTACTACTTCAGATATTTTATAACAGTAAGTAATTCAAAATTATAAATGAGACAAATTATGGGCATAAAGATGCATCATAATTACAGAAGCCCTAATGCAAGCAGAGTAGAAAATAAAAGTAACAAACATTAGAATTAAAAATAGCTAGTATATATGAAATAAAGAAAAATTGAATGAAAGAAAAGAGTTAAAAGAGCAGCACTACTCAGGGGTACCTGGGCCAGAGATCCCACTGCTCAGATAAATATAAGAAGAGAGGAACGGACTTTGTATCCTTTGTTCTACAACCCATCAGGTACAAGATATAGATATTATACAAGGATGAAAATGCTGTATTTGTATTCTGTATATTTCCACTTTGAAAGCCATCCTGTAGTAATGTGACATAATCAGATATTCCTCTTTACCTAAGAGAGGAGGCCCATGGATTTTTAAACAGTTTTATTTAAACCACTGGCTAAGAAAAACTGGGATAAAGGAGTGTGTGCCATTTGCGAAAGCGTGTTCATTAAAGATGGAGGCTCTGCTTTAGCAGGATTTGCATGAGGAAGAACAAAACATCTGTGCCAATCTGCTTGTATGGTGCAAGGTCCCCTAACAATTCCTTCCATAAGGAAATTAATTTCAACCATCGGTTGTTACTGTGTTCTAATTTCCAGCTCTCTGTAAACTGTTTTTTTGGGGGGTAGCTGTACCACAGCTGAACCCGGGGTGCTATAACCAACTTGAGTTGCAGTTCCCCCATCACCACCAATTTCCTGCCTTTTTGTCTATTGTCTTTACTCAAAGTTGTATTAATTCTTAAAAGAAGGGTCTGTCTTCTACAGGTGCAATTCAGTACAATAGAGTGCAATGCAAAAGAATGAAGAAGCAAGGTTCTCAGCCATATCAGTTGCTAATCAATGATTCATACACCACTAATTTGTTTAACATATCATAAGTGGAAATTAGTTGGTTTGCCTAAACTTCACCCTGACAAGAGCAAACAAAAGGCATGTTCAAAAGTTCAGTTTCATTTCCCAGATGAGGATAAATTTTTGTTTCATTTCTTTCTGACCATGGGAGCAGTTTCATTTCCTTGCTGTTAGCTGGACAGTGTATAAAAATACTGGCTGAGCCTCACAATGCTTCAGTGGATTCCACACCATCAGGGACAGAAATGTCTGACCAAAACGTCCGCAACGCTGGCTTCACTCCCTCCGGGATCACGGCAGGATCGCTTGGCTCATCGATGATGTCCCAGGAAGCAAAAGCATCTGGGGGAGGTGTGCGTTCTGGAGGCCCTACCTCTACTCTCCAAGAATTGGGTATGAGCAATTTTGTGTGGTTGTGGTTTTGTGGTTCAGTGCATAGGGCTGAACAATTGTTTTTTTCCCCTTGAAAATAAGCTTGCCAAGTAATCTCTTCTGTCTTACAGGAATGTATAGCCCAGAAGACAAATGATTCCTACATTTAACTGCATGTTATGGGTGGGATGCTATTAAGGGTGTTTTCTGTGTAGGCAGAAATGCATGAATGTGCACATACATATGTGGTATTCATGAGATTCAGGACAGTGTTTATTTGAAGTTTGTGCTATCTCTCCATTCTGCTAGGAATCATCAATAATATGGAAAGTCATGGTAGCAATAAGCAACGATACACTTATGCAAGAACATGATCCGTGTACCTACATTTCATATAAATTATAAAATTCCCCTTGCTCTTTACGCACACACATCCATACAGGAAGAACCCGTAAAAACTTATGCAAACTCTACAGCAGAGGGAAATTAGCTGCAGTTCCAAGAGCCAAATTCACAAAGGGAATCTATACACATCCTTGACAGCATGTATCTAAGTACCAAAATTAGGCCTAGCTGGCTTTCACATGAGCTAACCCTGCAGGTGCTTGCTTTTCTGTTGCATGAACATGGCAATCCCTGACCTGACGACTCTAAGCAGCTTGGCACTTGCTTGACCCCAGATCCCATGGGATTCATGCACAAGGTGTTCTCACTGCCAGTCCTGCCTGTGTGACCTGATTCAGCAGGCACCCTCTAAACAGGCATAACTCCACGGAAGAACTCCATGTAATCCTGCTTTACCTGGCAGCGCAGTAGCTGGCTCGCTCACTGCAGATAAATGCTTCAAAACCCTTTCTGCCTTAGGGGTCTTGGACCCACATCTCCCATGTGTCAGGAGTGGGCTAAGCAGTAGACTTGTTATAGGTGGGGTTCTCTGTCATATAGGTCAACCGCTTGTCTACTCCTTTTGTAGTAAGCAGCTGGAAGTCTACTGAAGGACGGAGCTGAACCTGACTCTTCCAGCCCTAAAATGGGTAGTTGGTCAGGTGATCTGGCCGGGGTCCAGATTTGGGGCATCTTTTAATAGTAAAAAGTGCAATAAGCTTGATTGAGAGGAAGTAAGTTTGGGGAGTTTTTTGTTTGGTTGGTTTTTGTGTTTTGGGTTTTTTTTAAGATATGATTTAGATTGCTACCAATATTGTTCATAGCATGAGATGCTCTAGACAGTGAAGGAATAAGTGACATAAGGGTCATTTGGAGAGATACCGCATGTGACTCCTGTGAGGCATTTTTTGATTTTTACTCTGTATGATTCGATTGGTGAGTTTAGGTTACTGAATACGGTGCTTATTGAATATTCAGTAGCAAAGAGCTTAAGGGATGGTAGCAGCAAAGGGACAGAATATGAGGGAGTCAGGAGAGGCAGAGGACCAAGAATGTGAAGAGCAGGAAGAGCTTCTCTCAGGCACTGTGCTGCACTAGCAGCAGAAACCCTGGTACACGGGAGATGCCAGTTTCTTAACCTAATCATACACCAGAGCAGAGTCAGCTGAACAGTCTTGCCTCCTGCTACAGATATGGGTTGTACAGCAGTACTCAGCACACCCATAACCAGTGGCAAACTCTTCAGTGGTGATGCCCGATAGAGAGCATGAAGCAAAGTAAACATTTAACACCACCTAGCTTTATTCTTGCAATGTCTATATCAACTATGGACTTTTATGAAAACCACTATTTTGGTGAAGAGAAATCTGCATGAGTTAAGGAAACCTTTGCCATGCCTACAGGACATACTCTAAAAGAGCTTTTATCCATGTGAAAAATGCTGTCTCTGTAACATTGCCAAGGCAGGTGTGAGCTTTGGCTCCCTGCAGCAGGGGAGCTTGCCACACATTCTTTGCCTGATTGAGAGCTAAAAGGGCCTGATTTCATTTCCGCAGGTGCTCACTGAAATCTCTCACTCTTCAAACACATCTTCTTAACCTTTTCATTCAGACTGTAACCCTTCCTCCCCCCAGAACAAACACGCTCGAAGGAGCGGCTGATTCTGCAGCAGGGCATGAGTATTGTTCAGTGTCACTTTACAGAAGATGTTATAACAAGCTCATCACCAAAATATTTGAGCATCCTCCAGGAATGCTTTAAGCATTATCACTAACATTTGTCATAGCTAGTGCTTTACTCCTCCCCCAGGAGAAGAAGAGTTTGCAGTGGAATACTTTGCTTGAGGCTTACTTGTAATGAGATGGAGACATACATATAAATTGGCCACTGGCTAGCACAGCTTGCTGTGTTTGAATTCTACAGGTATCTATTATGCATAGGTCTATACTATGGAAAGTGAAGTGAAAGAACATATCTGTCACCTGCAACAGTAAGTGGTGACAGAGATTGTGCAACAATCCTTAGTTCCTGTAGGGCTTTGTTCCACAGTCCTCAGCCAGCTCCTCAGAAAACTGTGATTTTAGCAGAGACAAGCTGTGCTGAGACTGCTTTGGAGATTCAAATATATCAAAAATAGTCTGCGCAAGAGTTGTAGATTTTCTTTGTGTTCTGGGAACATCCACAAAACACTGCAAATATCCTTTCCCCAAGGTGGCAGCTAAAAAGCAGTATATTGATGGAAGAAGTCAAATAATCGGCAGTCTCATTGTCTTTTGATACATTTGCTAGCCTTAGCTTTTTTAAAAACATAGTAGTTTATAATTATCCTGTAAGGTTCCTTCCAGCCAGTAACATTTCCTTTGTAACTGTTGTAGGTGCCAGAGGCTCAACCCATTCAACAGGTTTTACCTGCAGCGGGATCTCCAGTGGATCCACGGCCTCCCAGATGATGTCCAGGGAGGCCACAGCCCACGGAGGTGGAACTCCCAGGGGTGGTACAACTTCCACTGTCCAGTCCATCTGTAAGTGAAAGTCCTCCTAATAACGATTAAATAACAAATGACTTCCGAGAAGTCAGCAGTATTTCAGCTCAAGTACACGTTTGATGAAGGGACATAAAGAAAAGTGGCTGCATTGTACTTGAAGCAACATTTCTCCTGTTTCTTGCTTTATACTTTTTGGGAAGCTAAAACTAGGCTGTTAGTGGAAATAACTGAGCCATAAAGTTACAAAGATAGAGGTGGGTAGCAGACACAGAAATCTGAAACATATACTGACAGAAAAAAGGCCAGTGGAAGTTTAGGTTATACTTGCATCAGCACTGCAGTCGAAGTTAATTTAATTTTTTTTTCAAACACAAATTCAGGAACAAACCAAGAGCTTCACATTTGAACATATGAAACAGATGAAGTGGGAGGAAACAGTGAAACATGAGAGTGGAGTTATCAAGCTGACAGACAGGAATCATAAGTCTACTTTTTGTGGCCTTTTAGAACAGCTTAGCTTTCTTTCCTTTTAAAGGAAATTCACTGGGTCAAAAGCAGAGGGATTTACCTATACTTACCAGCTCAAAGCAAAGAACACAAGTTTTCCTCATTAACTGCCAAGTTGATGTGGCCCACACCTAGATAAATCAAACCAAAGTATAAAGAAGCCTGGTCTATACCTTAATGCATCAGTAAGGAAGCTCATCATGGTACTATTGGTATATGGTAGAGAACTGGAGACAGGATTCAAGTTCTCTACTTTCAAAAAGGGTCTTTCAAAGTGTAACATAGATCTTTGGTCCCTGACCTGGGAACATTTGTAAACAATACTCAGATATTCTGCATGTTTCCCTGCACTGCAACTTTGCTTTAAGTTGTTCTCACAAGTGTTTTTGTATTTATCCTTAGCTATGGGTGGTAAAGGAGGAAGGCGCTGAAGTGAAGAATAACATCAGTCCGGAAATAAGCTCTGCAACCAGTTCATCCTTTACCAATACAGAAGTTTGACAGCTTCTCCCCTTCTTTGTTCTCACTGTCACTGACATAAAAGGCAAAGTCTTTTTCACATGCACAAATAAAGTTTACATTAAGATGTTGGATTCTTGTGTGAAATTACTGGGGATGGGGATATGGGGCAGTTTCTTCCACAGTTAAGCATTTTCTGAAGCACAGGCACATGGAAATGCAAGCTGATAAATGGAAGCTAAGGTCCTTTGGACTGCAGGGGTGCCTTACAAATATCCTGGGTGTAGCAACACTAGACTCTCCAATTACAGGTAGCTTGCTTTGTTTCTTTTACAAAAAGTGATTACAGTGCAAAAACCCTGTTGTGAGAGAGAAGCATAGAAACACATTATAAGGGGCATCCAGCAGATCCCTTTGGATGTGCTTCTAATGGGCTATCAAATTAAATTCTCATTAATTAAAAATACACAGAAGCAAATGAGAATGGGTCCCAAGAAATCTCATACCTCAGAGACACAACTGTATATTTGTATCCCTCTACCTTCTTTTCACATTAATTTAATTTCAAGTCCCTGTTTTTTTTATTGAGAGGTGGCAGCTTTGTCACAATTGGAACAAAACTATCTGTAAACATCTTATGATACCTGAGAACAGATAAGGAAGAGAGCCCATGTTCTCTGGTATAGGTCTCACTAAAGGGGACTCTTGCCATTCCCCACACACCTGACTCCTTCCCTTGATATGTACTCATACAATGACATTTCCCCAAATACATATAACATTTTCCATCCCCTATACAGATTCCCACATACATACTCACCTACACTCCCATCTTCTTCCTGTCTTCCTGGCTCCTCATTCTCCCTCATCACTTCCCACCCTCTGTGTTTGTAATAAAGCTTCACAGTGCAGCTTCTCTTTCCCTCTCCTCACCCCAAAATGAAGGGAGAGAATCTCATACCCTCAGGCCAGAAATTAAGAGGTGCTGGGTTTGTGGTGCTGCAGTCAGCAATTTTCTCCAACAGCTTCTGTCACCCAGCTCATCTCAGCTGCATCTCTTCATGGCTGGGAGACGTGTTTGTGCCCGTGCACCTCATGCTCTCAGATACAGTCTTCTCCCTCCTGCCTAGGTGCCTTCCCTAATGGACATGAGAAGCCAGCGTTTTTCTCCAGTTGCAGCAAAGTTAAACTGAATTATATGATGAGGGGAGGAGTGATAGCATGCAAGAGAGGTGAAAAAGAGGGTAAAAAAGGTATCTTCACTTGCTGTGCTATGCGAAGTATTAAAAAGCAATTGAAAATCAGTCACCATTTCATGGGATGGAGCTGCTCTCCTAGCACGGCACTATCTTGGGCAAATGTTAAAATGTAACCAGGATTTGAAGTCATAAAATCATAGAAAGATTTGGTTTCAGAGACCTTGGTGTGAGGAGAATAAGGGCAGTCCAACCTCCTGCTTGAAGCAGAGTTAACCTTAATGTTAGACTTGCTTGCTCAGGGCTTTGTCCAATCACGTTTTGAAAATCTTTAAGGAGGGAGATGTCACAGCTTCTCTGGGAAACCTGCTCAAAAGTTGCACCACTCTCACAGCTGAGATTTTTTTCCATATGTTGAAATAGAATTTTCCTTATCGCAAAGTTGCACTTACTCCGATGGATCCTCAACCATATACTTAATAACAATGTATTTTAAAGCTTTCCACTTTAGAGATTCACCCATAAATATGCTTTCCTGAACTGGCACCTAGGCCTAAAAGTGGCCAAAATGGGACCAGAAACATGCTTTGCAGTGCTCAGTGCCTCCCAGCACCACTGCTGAGAACAGACACGTCATTTGCAGATCACGCACTGTCACATCAACAGGAAGGGATGTTTTCTCTCTCCCCATGCTTTCTGTACAATTACAGATTTAGAGATGTCTTCGCACAATAGCAGTAGCTTATACTGATATGTTAGCTTTCATAGTTAAGGATCCAGAACTGTTTTGTTCAATGCAAAGGAAATACAGCAACATAATCACACGTTTTGGGATCTTTTTAAGGTCAGACACCTTTTAACTTGACTTGAATGGTAGTCTACACCCTTGCATGCATGTGAAAGCTTCCCCGCTCATTACCTGCATGCTGGCTATCTACTGCCATAAATATCTAATTGTAAAATTACTGTTGTATTCTGTAACAAATAAAGACATAAAGGAATGAAGAACACCCTGTCCCAGGTGAAATGAAAAAATTAAAATTAAGCTGTTATGGAGAAGAAAAATGAGGTATTCAGGACTCACAGATAGCAATCAGCCTGCAAATCTGACTGAGAAAAGTGGGGCAAGCTGTCTGAAATTGTATTTTAGACGTAATTTTCAGCCTTTCTCCAAGCCTGTCTCTAGTCTCCTCTGGCATCTCTCCAGATCTCAGCCACCTCTCTGCAACAGTGACTTTCACACATACTCCAGCCACCATTAAGCACAAGGCAAAAGCTTTGGCTGGACACAAACAATAGGACCTGGAAACCGGTGTCATTGACCCCTGAAGAGGGAAAGGGAGGCTGATGGTTTTACTCTGACAAAGTTTTTTTCTGGTTCTTCTATTCTGCTTGTCCCTGCTTATAACAGGCCGGGCTTCCCCCTGTCTCCACAAAACCAGCCTCCAGTTAAGCAATCTCCTTTCCTTCTCACTTTCAAACCTGTTCCATAGTCATCCTCGGTCTGTTACACAGCAGCAGCCTCACAACTGCTGCAGGACATCAGCAGGGTGCTGCGATTTTCCTCTCCCACCTTGGCTCACCCTCTGTGAGAGCCGTGTTGGAGCACTTTGCTGGCTCAGGCTCTGACCTCCTGACCACACGTCACCTCTAAAAAAGGCTGTGGCAGCTTTGTCAAGCAGCTGCTGGGGTAGAGGTAGAGAAAGCTGGCTACCTGCCCAAGAGCACAACTACATTTTTCTAAAGCACTTAGCGTTCCTCGCTTGCGGCTGCTTCATCACAGCTCTGCCATCTCTTTACACAGGAGGGAGGGAGCATTAGGTCAGTGTAAGGCAATGTGATTTTGACTGAGTAGCATTTTATGTCTATTTACTACAGATTAAACGATGTGAGCAAGTAAAAGGTAAAGGAGAGCTGCATCCTGCCTTTATTGAATTTTACACATCACCAGTGATTCTGCTTTTGCAGCCTTGTCCATTCAGCATAATAAAAAGAAAAGCATTGTATCTCTGGGTATTTGGTGTAGCCATGGTGTGTATGTGCAAAGATGGAATTGGCAGTTCTCCAGTCTTCAGGTCTGGACTAACTGACTACTGACAGGTCTGGTCAGTACATGGCTCTAATCGAGTCATCCTACACTTCCCTCTCAAGGCCTAATGCAGTAGCCTGCGGCTGTGATCTGCCAACAGATCTGTATTCCCTTCTATACCCTTTGCACTGGCAGGAGGTAGGGCAAGGAGTTCTGTCCTGGCTGTTTCCCACGCCAAGATTCCCCCATGTGTAAGTGCCAAGGTACCTGCCAGAGAGCAGCAGGGACTGAGATGCCCACAAGCAGATATCCAAACACCTGCTTTAGCTACAATGATGCTGAAGTAAGTTGTAGCAATGAAACTAATGTAAAAATGACAAGAAATAGTAGAAAAAGTCAAGCACGTACATAACTCATCAGACAAACAGTCTTGTAAACTGAAGCTGTATCGTCTGAGGAACAATGTCTGACCATTCCATGACAATTAAAGACCTCGTTTCTTATTTACCTGCAAAGGGGGAAGATTTAAAATTGAGTTTCAACCTTAACGCTGGCATTTCTTGACCTCAAGTGTTTTTGTCTTGTTAAAAAAAAAAACAAATCATTACCATTAGTAAGAGCTGACAAAAGATATTTATGCCTGAAAGAAGGAAATCCAATCCAAACAAAAGCAAGGATCCTTAATCACATACCCTTTCACTGTTCAGCACTTACGTGATTCTGGCACTACTAGTTTGGATTATTTTTTCCCATCTTTGGATCTTGTGTTGAGAACTAGCCTAGACAGCTTTACTGAAGCAGGGAGCATCCTTAGCTGCATTTGAATTCACTTAACTGAGTCAGCTCTAATAGGTCTACAGGAGAACAAAGGTAAATGCTTCCTCCTGAAAGCCTTACCCACAGACCACTTAAGCAAATTCATATGTACATTACTACAAATGAAGTATTTACATTTTTAACAGAATATAATTGAAAAGGTCAAATAACAACAAATATGGCAATCTAAATCCCTCATGTCTCTCAATCAATCTTTCCACAACAAATAGACACAGAGAGAGAGAGAGAGAGAGATGGAAAGGAAAAGAGGCAGCCGTGTGTGATTACCAGAGCAATAGCACTGAAGCAATACACTGCAGAGAGCACATAGCTCTCTGCACGGAAATCAATTTCTCCCATGGGATGGGGTCGATAGTTGTCTGACAGGACAGTATACAGGCAATTTAATAGCATTTTATCTAAATGAATCTATTCCTCCCCCCCCACCAGCCTCACAGTTCATAAGAAGGCTCTCTTAGTAAAATAGATTTATTTATTTTTTATCATACAACAGGAAAGTATTTATCATTTCTGAAGACACTACCATTGTCTATTAAAAATCATTTATCCCCATTAGTTGCTCCTTACCCACAACTCTTTCCCAACATTGTTATTCTAATTAGTTAAGTCATGCACACAGCCCATAAAAATCACTTTCAGTTACTCTGGAAACATTTTTCTTGCCCCCAAACATTTTAAACTATAGGTCAGGAAAAATAAGCCCACAAATTCAGTTGACTCAAAGGAGTATTGGTATCTGAAATGACGTTTTTATGCAAGAAAAAGCATATTCTTTGAGGAATGCATTATACACAGAGATCAGTTGTCCAGTGTATCTATTTTAATACTACTTAATAAATAATAAATAATAAAGCCAAGCTGATCTCATTAGTGGATATCCGTGTGAAATAAATGGTAATGAATGAGAACCCCTAATAAGCATAATTCCAAGGATGGATTTTCCGTGCTCTGGGAGTTTGGTATTGTGCCCCAAAGGCTCTTGTAAATCCAGCTGCAGTTCTTGCTCATCATTTAGAAGATTAGGGGCTGATAAGCGACAGTCAAGCCTTATTAGAACA